TCCTGTGACGTCACGTTGTCGCGCGACAGGTCGGCAGTGGCGAGTCTACAAGACGCTTAAGTGTCACATGATCTGTCACATTTTTTCAGTATATATAGAACTGTTCTGAAAGGTCCAGGAGTCTGCAACACCATGAAGACCAAACAGGTCAGGGGCAATGTTGTGGAGAAGTATAGATCAGGGGGGTTCCAAAACTTTGCACATCCCACGGAGCACCATTGAAGCCATTTTTAAACAATGTAAAGAATATAGCACCACAGCAAACCGGGCAAGGAGGGCATTAATCAGAGAGGCAGCACAGAGACCTAAGGTAACCCTGGAGGAGCTGCAATAGCAGAGATTGGAGTATCTGTCCATAGGACCACTTTAAGTTGTACACTCCACAGATCTGGGCATAATGGAAGAATGGCCAGAATAAAGCCACTGCTTAAAGAAAAAAAAAAACATAAATACCCTAAATACAGGGAACTTCTGGAGGCAAACCTGTTTCAGTCTGCCAGAGATTTGCGACCAGGACGGAGGTTGACCTTCCAGCAGGACAATGACCCGCAGTGTACTGCTAAAGCAACACTTGAGTGGTTTAAGGGGAAACATGTAAATGTGTTGGAATGGCCTAGTCAAAGCCCAGACCTCAATCCAATAGAAAATCTGTGGTCAGACTTAAAGATTGCTGTTCACCAGCAGAAGCCATCCAACTTGAAGGAGCTAGGGCAGTTTTGCCTTCAAGAAGAATCCCAGTGGCTAGATGTGCTGAGCTTGCCAGGTTGTGAAGCAACAAAATAGTAAAAATGCCAAGGGGAGTGAATATGTTTGCAACCCACTGCACTGCAGTCTCATTTTCTACAAACAAAAATTAATGTTACAAAAAATAGTTGGATAGAAGCTACAATCACATAAACACAAATAGTAGGTTGAACCATGGGCAAGGAAACATTTTTTACAAAATACAGAGATTACAAAAATGCCACAGGCCTTAAATAATACTTACATACAGGCATAGCTTTAATGTTCTGGTTCCTATTCACACCATGATGTAGCACAATACAATTTATCTCTGAAATATCCATCATGGAACAACTGCAAGAATTAAACCTTAGTGGACGGAGGTCCGGGTAAACTGACTTTTTAAAATTAATTTCTGACCTTATGATTTATGTATTGGCTCCAGACATTCAAATTCATCTCAACCAATGTGGTCAGTGCTGCCTCCAGGGCCTTCTCACACTTAAGTCTGTACATTATTATTCACAATTAAGCAGTGAGTACAGGTACATTCATCTTAGCTGCATGTATAAAACAACACCTCACAATGTGCACATTGTCCTATTTTGGACTGTTAAAAACCACCATAAATAAAACGGACGACTTAAAAAAATATAAAAGCAAGGCATTACACTTGCAAGATAAACAGAGCAGGGCGTTCCTCCAAATATGACCTCCTATGAATATGACAGGATGTAACACAAAATGAAATACTGGTATTTTACCATTATTGAAGGCTATTATCAGCTGCATGTAGGAATAGTGGATCCTCTATTTAGAATATAAAACACAAAGACTAAAGGAGTTAAAACCTTTTCACATCAACTACAGCTTGTTTCACAGCTAATAAAAAACTGTGAATAATGCAGTAGAATGGACTTTAATTTGATCACATTTTTAGCAGAGTTAGCTTAGCATGTTAAGGTATGTAGTTATCTATGGCTCTAGACTGTCTAGAAGTCTGGTAACTCAACCAAATATGCATTTCAAATTGCATTTCTTTAGTTCATTTTAACTTGATAAAATTCAATTCATGCAATGAAAAAAATAAATAAGATATGAGCTACCAATAAACACCAGTTTTTTTATGGGGTCGAGAGGACCTTCAGCAGGTGATCTGTCTGTTTCAGAAACATTGTTTTTTAGCGTATAAGAAAATTCCAATGGCTCACTGAGAAGAAATCCAATGAGTGGAAAATCTTATGAGGTGAACATATTTTCTTCTTATTTTCTTGTGCAACTTACTTTATGCTTATGCTTTTTATTTTGGATTTAGACAGGACTGAACAGGAGGATGAGACAAAGCTAGCGAGTAGCATTTATTCTCTGTCTTCATATTGAGAAATATAGATGAGCCAGTCAGGTCCTGTCTGTCCTAGTTAGCCCCGATATCATGTCCTATGCCTTCCATGCATATAAAACAAAAACCTACCAACAGCAGTTCTATATTTGACAACTGTTTTTTTTACAAATGTTTTTGCAAACACAAAGCTGTACACACATGTGAGTGCTCTGCCGTGTTCTACACAAAGCTCAACAAGAAGATAAACTGATAATTCCTGTACCATTTACACAAACAAATCCCTCAAAATTTGGTTTAGACAAGTAGCTCAGGACTGGATTGGGTGGTCTGACATTCTGTCATTCTGGTATTGAATACATTTTTCATCGAGATGAGTATAGATGAGTGAACTGGCATGCTGCAGCTTGTTTATGCTCACGCCTCAACTTCAAGTTTGAAGTCAAGTGCCCCATTAGCGAGTTATCCTTCTTAATGTGAGCCTGAAGCTGTTTGCACACCAGGGTGATTCAGGTATCTTGTCCTGTTACCAAACAGTGCAGAGCTGATCCTCCTGGCACACAGGTGGATCCCACAGCTGTGCTGCATCAGCAAAGTACAGAGACACTACTGTAAGTGGGTGTGAGTCCTTAGTTTAGGGACTCATTCCCACTATTCCTCATAGGAGCTGAATCTGCGTTGACCAAGATGTACACAGGGGGCTGTACGAGAGAGAGAGAGAGAGAGAGGTAGGTATCCAGAGGTAGCAGCTTTGAGTGACAATGACAGTGACAGTGTTGAGTAACGCTCTCACCATGTTAGCGTGCTGCTAGTTACAGGGTTTCCACGCTTATTAAGAAATTATTTTCCAGGAATTTCTTTGCACTTGCCTACAATTGTGGTCACGCTGCATTAGTTCGCTTTCATGTCAAGTTTGGCTGCTCTAACCACAGCAGATTCTTCCCGGCCTATATATAACCAGCTATTCCAGGACATGGGGGAACCCAAAGGTTCAACCTACATTAAGGAATATTTTTGGATCCTATGTTTACTGGATTGAATTTCCCTCGGGATAAATAAAGTATCTATCTATCTAGGCATTTTGAGGAGCAAGATAAAAAAAAGGAAAAGGAGAAAGAGAATAGGAAAAACAGGAGGGTACAACTGTCTGAACCAAAATGTAATTACACTTGGAAGTCATGTGTCTCTGACTCACACAGCACAATGGTGCCAGTTTGGTGTCAGCTAAATAAAAAATGTGCCAGGTTTAAGTAGTTGGACTGCCAGCTTGAGGCAGCTGTCCAACGGCCACTGAGTTTTCTATGCATGGGAAGGCTGGTTTCCTACCAGGAAGAAGTAGAGTTACCACTGGCAAATACAAGAGGAAAATGTTTGCAGTAACAAAGCTGCTGGTGTGACTGGGCCGTGTGTGTCACACAATCTACACTCATAATTACCTGTATTAGATGTGAAGTCACTTCCTCTGTATCTGCCGACGCTGTTGTCTGAAAGAGAGATAAGTGTCAAACATACAAATCAATCAGCTCAGTTCTGATCAATGTGTTTCACTCCAGCCACTTCAAGTTAGCAGCAGCAGTCTAATGTGGGGCTTGATACGAGAACAGGGGTTGTGGGCTGAAATTGCTGAAGGAAAGCCAGGTTTGGCTTACATCGCAGACTCTCCCTACTTTTAAAGAGTGTAAGGTTTTGACAGATTGGTTTCTATGTTCCTATCACTTCAATCTGGTCAGTCGCAGAGCTTAGTTGACTACTTTCACATCTGACGGACAGCTGACAGATAACCTTTACTGCTTCAGTATGCAAACACAATACTAACTCCTTACAGTGGTTCATAATTACTCACAGAAGTTGTTTTTGCATTGGTTTTGCCCATTTTCTACAATTTATGTTTTGTTGACCATTTTTCATACCACAATGTTTGACATTTCTTTCCTTTGTTTTACTATCAGTGGATTTCATTACAGCGTGAAAATTAGCTGTCAGAAACTTGTTATTCACAAACTCAGTAACATGAAGTTCTGCCAGCATCACCTGTCAGGGCTAATTTTCATGGGATATTTAGCTGTTGAGTGCTAACAAAACCGGTAATAATGCACTGCAGTTATTTCGAGTTTAACAAGTCTGGTATTATGTTTGACCTTACCCAGTAACACAGGCAGTAAACAACAACCCCAGATAGTTTAATTTTTACTGCCTGTGTTCAATTTATCCTCACTTCTGTCTACATTTCAGAATCAAGACATATTAATACGGTGATCATGTAGTGGGAAGTCCTGGATTCATAATCACAGCAAGACAGAGTGTGAGTCATGTTGAAAAACCACATGCACAGTACATTCCAACAGTACCTTTAGCTCTATCCCTGGCTGAGCTTCTAATAAGACTTCATTCCTCTCACAGAATTCACTCTGAAAAACAAAGAAATCAAATAATATAATAAATTAAACTGTGCTGATGCTGCACTATGTAGATAGACACTAACAGTGTACGTTTGAGGTACTGATAAATAATCGTTAGAATTGATACGGTAAAATGCTGGTAAAAACAAGAAAACCAGTTGATCTGAACAATAGCCAATGGAACAAAGCTGTTTTTATAAACTCCACCCAGAAGGAAGAAGCTGAGATTCACAAACCAAATCAAGAGACCAAACAAAAAGACAGAAATGATTCAATAAAAGCACGATAAAACAAAGTCCTCATGGTGGAAATGGGGGCACCGGCATTTATTTTGTATGAGGAAACTGTTCTTTTTGCACACGGCTTCACACTTTTCTACAAAAGTTCAGTTTTGAGTCAAGACCCAAGATATTTGTAGGATTGCGCACAGCCTACTGTCTGAGCCTTGATGGATGTGACTCCATGTGTGCAGGAATGTTTTCTAAAATACTGATAATACTTCCCAATACATAATATAAGATTATAAGATAATACATGCCCTTTGGTCTACGCTCCTTAAGTGAGGCTATTAAACTGGCTGCTACTTATATGGACCATTACGATCAAACAACAAACAGGATTTTGCTCACAGTTCTGCAGTCCTTTTTCCTCTGCTGGTGCACGTTGAAGTAAAAAGCCAGCATCATGGCCACATTCAGCACCAAAGATATCATCAATAATATCTTCAGGGATATGATGTCTGTTAAGGAGATATCAGAGACAGATTCCATTAATGTCACCAAACAAATAACAACAAAAACAACTTGTAAAGCAGTAGCTTTAGCAAAGCATCTCACAAAAGTATCTGCAATCGAATAACTAGTGGACAATCTCGCCTCACTCTTACACTGCTCAGTAATTTCTTTTATTTTACCAGAATTTGAAATTTAGCAGACCTCACCACAAGAAAACACTGCATCAGACTAGTTCAGCTGTGTGGTCATGGTGTTTTTACATTTCTGAGCTAACTACACACTACTAGAGACCCAGATGGTCAGACAACAGACAAAGAAAATAAAAAACCTGAAAAATCTCATAATTTTTTTAATTAATATATCAACACTAATGTTCACACGTATATGACTAAGAAAATGTTTACCTGTGTTATCTCCATTATTTGTTTGTGGGAAAATGTTAAATTAATTCTTTCAATATCCTGATAAACAGACAAATAACTGATAGATAAATAACTTCATCTTAACCAATATGAACCGTTTCAATCAAAGAATGTCTGCTGTTTATGTACTTTTTGAGATCTTGGTTTTTGCCCGTAGCTCAGTTAAATTATGCGGTTTGAAGAACTCACCTCTTTCACTGTTTTCTGACGTTTACTTTCTAAACTCTGACACGTGTTAACCCAAATATACACATTTTAAATCAAGGGAAAAAACTTACCTGGTCCACCCTGTCTATGATTGGATGCTTGACCTTTGGAAAGATGAAAAAAAAAACTTACACCATTACAATTGCAAATGTACAGTGTAAGACAAGCAAACTACTGTTAAATTATTCAGTATTATTTAAAGATGTAAAAAAAATCTAAGATTAAATCGTATCAGAGCAAGTGACTTGTTGGGTGTTCCTCTAGAAAAGCAGTAGGGCTGCTCGATTATGAAAAAAATCATAATCACG